GGAATAGTGTTTTAAGCAATACACCAACAAGCAACGCACACACAAGCATCAAGTAAACAAACAAGGCAACAATGTTTACGGGCTCCACGCCCAACCAACAATTTCACTATCACTGGAAAATTCGCCAAGGCATGCACAAAAACTCGCGGTATCGCTCATTACGCGCGACTGTGCAGCTCAAGGCCTTTATATAGGCCCGCAGGCAAGTTGCAGTTGACATCCCCAACCGATAGGACATAAACCGTCTGGCAGTTTTATAACTGCCCACGTTCTAAGCCTACTTCGCATAACCGTCCGCACAACGGTCCAATGCGCGGAATTTCAAAACAAGCGCACCACGTGTCCAACGTAACCGTCTTGTAACCGTATTGTACACGCGTCGCCCATCTGATTCATTCTGCCATGCACACTTGAAGATTCTCCGCCTAGGCCACGTGGAACCAAATAACAGCGTCCACGTGCAACCCAAATGCATTCAAAACCTTAACCGTTCCCGCCAACAGTTTGAGCGTCGCGCCAACACTCGCGCGCCCAACAAGCCGCATCGGCAACCCGCATAGCTTAGAGTTAATCCTGCCCAACATAGTGCAAAGGCGCCGTACCGCCTTGCTACCTTGCCCGCACGTCTTTGCTTGGCCATGCACAACCCTCAAAGACTTGACTGATCCCATATTCAGTCTACATTGATCTGGCCCTGCAACCCAGCATCCTCGCTAAGCTAGCCCGAAGCCTTTACCATGTCAATGTACTTGTTCCCTTATCCGACACCGTACACAAGTGCCCAGTTTCCTGACCCTTGGCGCATATAAGGGACTGCGCCCGGGTCCAGCTCAAGCTTAAGTCCGTAACAGCGTGACTGGCGTCCACCGAGTGCCACTTGTCACGGTTGGTGGTGACTGGCTACTAACGGGCGTGAAAGGTATTAGCCCGTGCATGACTTGGCGCTCGGGCATGCTGTCAGGCACTGGCCGAGGCCTGCTGGGCACGCTGGCGCACTGTCGGGCGCACACTAGCGTGGTGTTGGGCACTGGGACTTGCCAGCGGCGACAGGGCGCTGCTGGCTGACTGCGCATACTGCGAGGTGCGTTGTCGGGCGCACTTCACTCTGCGCACTGGACGTGGGCTGACAGTATGCTGCTGGCGTGACTATCGTGCACTGCACGCACGGCCGCTGGCGGCATGCTACTGGGCGCTGCTGCACGGGCTACGCACGACGCACTGTTGGATGTGCGCGTGCTGCCGCGTGCTCGCAGACTACCGCCGGCTGGCGCTGCCCCGCTACGTGCGGACAGGCTCTACGGTCGGCACCTCGTCGGTCGTCCGGCGATTTTTCCGACAACGATGACATGGTGGAACATAATATAACATGACATGACTAAAAATATGTAAATTGTTCGGGGTGTTCGGCTAGACTTGAAAATGGCTCGATATGGCCTATATGGCGCCTACGATAGTACAACTACCGAAAAACACGGACTCAACCATATAATCTACGCATGATCGACCTTTAATCCTTATAAAATTACTAAGAAAAGGACACTACGATCTTATATCTTCGGTTTCTCGTGAAATGACACTAAGGCCTGTGACTGCACGCAAAGCCTCCGCGCTAAACTTCGACTTCCATGGCACAGCTATTGAACAAGCTATTCTTTTTCACTTATCCAAGCTTCACTATAGAATATTAGCTTTGATCAAGATAAGCATGGTGATGTTCTCTCTTTCGGTAATTAAACTTTACTCTCGACTATAAAATAAAATCTCTCGGCTTTACCTCTCAATCACTTCGGCAATGCTTAAAAAAAAAGAGGAGTATAATTCTAAGTGGAAATAATGAAATAAAGTCCATCATACTTCAAATCTTGAGTTACGAATTATATGTGAAAATGGGAGACAAAGATTTTTGTCTTTAATTTCTCTAAAGACACGTGTCCCCAAATTTGCCTTAGGTGTTATGAAATTATATGAGTCTCCCACTTAGGTGCCAAGATGATAAAATTTAGCTATATAATGAGATTATCTTACAAAGTGGCTAGCAAAATCAATTGCACTTTAACTAAACATTGGGCTTGAACGTGTACTATACTTGGGCCGAGAGAAAGAGTTTATTTTTTGAACCAATATTGCTAAAGGTAAAGAACAAGACAATTACTTAGATAAATCTAAAAACAATGCTTTTAAAAACACGGCTAGGACTTGAGCGAGGCTCGGTACAACGCGGCCGAACTTGTTCATTTTCGGTCGTGACTCGATTTTGACGATTAATCCAAATATTCTCAAATTCGACTAATACGTCAATACTGGAATAATTAATCCCGAATTTACTATGTCCATTTATAAAAATAAATGGACTGAGATTAATTATTGGAATTAACTCGGTTAATAAATAAAATTAACCGGATATACTTTCGACTTAACGTCGAACTCGGAATTTAACTGATTGAATAACTTAGACTTTGAACATTAATATGAATATTTATTAAAAAAGGCTAGCTTATATTTAAAATCTAGTATCTTTCCTTTATTAATAAAATATGAGGCGTTACAATCCACCCCCCTTAAAATATTTCCGTCATAAAAAATACAGAAACTGAACGTACAAGCTTAACTCAAAGCTTATACTTACCGATGACATAACCTATAACTCGTTATATGAATATTGAGCTTAGACTTTGCTTTTAGCATTCACAGTAACTTTGTGAATTGGTGATTAATACTGGATAAAATAAGAACACCTCATTGAATAAAAGTGTTTCACTGATTATACATGACATTAAAGGCATAATTGTTGAACATATTGGACATCACCTCCTGGTTGATTGCTGATCTTCGGTCTGGACTTTGGTTGTGAAACCTAAGTCGTGTGGTACACATGGAAGATTTTTCAGAGATGCGCACATGTACAATGAGGATAACTAGCAATCTCGGTAACTACCTTTCGTGAACATCTACATGATAACGCGGCACATCGTTCGCGGCACATTTCAATGCGGCACACCTGCTCCTCTATTAGTGAGTGCGGCGCGCCTGCGTGAGGCACCTGGCGAACATTGCACCTGCGACATCAATGTAGTCTGTATAACTGATCATATCTGTATCTCAAGCTAGTAACCTCAATGTACTATAATGCTAACTCTCCGTGATCTCCCAGTGTACTGTGACTCAGGCATGGCATCATTCTCTTCTCGCAACATGCGTTCTTGAATGGAAAGCATCGGTTCGTTACCACGGTGTTTTCTGTTGCTGTTGATTGGTCTTCTCTATCACGAACGAAGGATGTCTCGAAAATTAACACGCTGTACCTG